TTATTGCGTATATCGGCCCAAAAACGACAGGATACACGTAAGGATGCCGTTAACCAACGCCAAGCCGCCATTGTCCACCAAGATTTATCCTGTGCGAGTTTTACATACAAGTTGACCTTCGGCCAGGACCCGAGAATGGTCTCCCAAGCGGAATACACCAACAATGTTCCAGTTCTGATCCTGCTAAGTTATACAGAAGCTGGAGAAAAATGTACGTGAACAATACTGTTAATATCTCTTTCTACCTTCTTCTGAAAACTGACATTCGAATCGGACAATGAGGAGTTTTTCGCGCAACAACGATAAAAGCTGATACGGGCCTCGTTGGCTGGCCGATGCCCCCTCCGAAACTCCAGTAAGAACCGTTGTCAAAACAAATAGTTTTAAATCTAGAAATGACGGTATTATAAATAATTGTATATTTAAGGCCCAAAAGGCCCTTTAATTACAAACTTAGTGCTATCGTAAAAAGAAACAAAAACTTGCAAAGTTGGTAATCAGAGCTGTGAGCAAGCAGCTGTATAACGAGAGTGGATGACCTTTAGCTCGACACTGAAAAGAACTGAGAAGAAGAAGACTTGATCGCTGGGATAATACGTTTATTCGCCTAACGTTTCGACATCCATCACGGATTCATCGTCAGAGACATGAGTAGAAAACAGTAACAGAAACAAACGTCCTAAATAGGTAGCATGGTATGATATGAGGTCAAAAATTTGTAGGGGTTAACTAGGTCTAATGCCTACAAACCGAAAAAAACTTGTTAAAAGCAATGTTACGCGAATCCTAGAGAATGGGGACTAAACTATTACAACATATGGCAATAAAAAAGCAAATTGAAAAACGTAAAATGAACGATAAGTCAAAGAATGGTACAAACTCACAAAATCACCATGTCCTACGTTAGCAGTAATCGGAGATTGAATTGCAGAAAATTGGTACATGGCTGGATCTGATAGCCAAATTTGATTTTCCAGTACTTCATCAAGCGAGAAATAAATGTGTTCAAGGAAAGTCCTGAAAATGAGAGGTCGTGTTTAGGGCCTGTCGACCTCATTCCGCCAGAAGTCGCTTCATCACGGGAGAAAAGCTAAAGGAAATGTGTTTTTTCCACCTAGACAAAACATACATGCATACAAATAAATTCAGGCATAAGAAGCATGTACCAAAAATGGGAAAAGTAGTAGAACCCAGACGAGTAAACAATTTTGTTGCAGACTTTTTTCCTAAGTTGAGTTTATTTGCTGGGATAACGGAGAGTCAATTGACCATTTAAGTGGGCTCCAGCAAATGCGCTTATATATTAAACAAACATTTTTTGTAAAATATTCCGGTTTCCCGTGTTAAATGTTCAATATATTTAGTTTTGTCTAACTTTGTTTTACTCTAGTACTGTATATGTTTGTGTTCTTAAAGTCGGTTGCAAAAAGGACATTGGTCTAAATAGGTGATTTCGTCCGGCGCTCTTGCCTTGTTGTGGTCCTCGTCAACTTTATTACAAAGTATCAAGAAATTAGTCGTTAAACTTGTGAGTTATAGTTCGCGTGCATACGTTTTTGGTGGACATAGTTGTGTTTAGAACCCGAATGGATGGTTGAATATCTAGTATACCAGTATCCTTGGTCTGCAAGCTTAACCTACTATTTAAGCTTAACTAAACCTAGGCATGCTGCGCAGGAATGAACATTACATGAAATTGCTAACGGGGCATGCTTTAACCATGCTACGTATGTTTGCATGCTAAGTAGCAAGAACCCGTAAGTGCTGGCGTACGCACGTTTGGTCAAAAGCGTGTCGATTCGGTTTTGACCTCACCTGCGTACACTATTATCTTACTATTTTACGAACGTAATATCGTAAAAAAACAGATAT